CGGCTCGGAACTGGACGGGTTGAATTCGGCAGGCAGGCACCGTGAGGTGCCGCTCCGTCGCAAGTACAGCAAAACTAGGATTTCGAGCAGAATTTAGGAAAGTTGGCAAGCGTGGTCACTTTATTAAACATCGGTAACAATGGGAAAATAAATAGTATGTGGTTAAACACAACTATCTGCCAGGCTACAGTAACAATTCCTGGAGAGCATCGTTGTTTCTCAAGCTTGATTTTTATGTATTTTATACTTTAAGGGTTTAAACAAATCTTTACCAATTTAAAAGACAGGTCTTGGGACTGGATTTGCTTTTTTCTTCAGGATTGCCTTCTCAGTTAAATGGAGCACTAGTAATGTTCCAAGCCCAGGAACACCATAGAAGGCAAAATAATACATTCCCTATTTTTCGTTCATCTGCTGCTTTCAAACACAGACCTCCGGATAACACTGGCATTGTTTTATATCGCCATATTTGGGGGATCAAGAAGGCACCTGCAAATTTTCTGGAACATGATCTCACCTTGTCCAGTACTCTGACGCACATTACAGAATACAGAACGACATGTTGATGGGTAATACAATGTTTAAAAGCTTTCCACTTAGATTTTTAAAGTGCAGATGGAGGAAGACAGCTTTGGTGTGGGAAACAGCTTTTATGGCGCCACGTTCTTGTACATCAGCATTCCGCGGCCTTTTCTTGCCTTTGTAGCAGCTCTTCTCTGCAGCACTTCCTTCAGCTGCTGCTGATGCTTTATCCGTCATCTTAAGAGGAATATGTATTTCCCCACATATTTACTAGTAGCTGTTTATAAAACAGCCACAATCCAGCTGTACAAGTGAAGTTACTCCTTCCACCCTGAAGAACTACATCTAGAAGTCATTCTGGAACTCACAGCATATTATAGAGGAAAACTAATGGGAAATTAACATTTCTGATTACACTTCCATTGAATCAAAAGCACTTCGTATTTTACAGACATTTCCTGTGCATTTCATAAGCTTTTGTATCTACACGAGTGTGAGGGAGGTAAGCAAAAAAGGAAACGACTTCACCTTTTTCGTAAATAATCCCTCGGTTTTGTTCTATGAGGCTGATAGCAAACCAGAACCACTGTCAGGTTAGGAATTGCGCAAGCCTCAAAGCTAATCTAACTAAAGAAATCACGCTGCAAATGAAGAAAAATACAGTGTCTGGTTGTTTTTTTAAAGGTAAGGAGCTTTAGCCAATTTTCATTACTGTTAGTTTTGCAAATATATTTAAGTATTTTATATTTTCTACTTCAGACGAAGGAAAAGCTTACAGAATCTCAGCGTGAGTTACGTTACCAGATCAAAGGTGAATGTGACAGTTGCATAATGTTCACTGCTCCACAGAAGACCGCATGGCAAGCTCACCGTTCCTGTCCTGCTG